ACCCAAAGTCTTTTTTGAGACTGAAAACAAAATGACATGGAGAAAATAGTTAGCTTCAAGTGCCATTTAATACCAAAAAATCATGAAATTTTAGAATATTGTGGTGTGGAATAGTAAGTCTGCCTGTCTCTTGTTCCGTAACCTGTGTATTTAAACTCATTTTGGTTTGAGCACCATTAACACGGCATCTTTTCTTTGCGAAATGTATATTTTTCTTATTGATTTTTTTTCCCCACTTACGATGCTGGTTGGTTTCAATTGAACACTAAACCGCATGTTCATGTCCAACGTTTGGGGGGAGAAAATGTACTGGAATTCTAGAGATGGTCAGAACTTGGAACTGTGCGCATTTAGAAGTGTGTTCACAGGACTTTGCAAAAGAGAATGGTCATAATTATCACCCAGGTTCACAGGCTCAATCTTCCAAATCTAGGGCTAATAAATTGGTCTTGCAATATCCAGTGTTGTGGAGATTGAGGCAGTAGTTGAACAATTCTCATTGTGTTAAAAGATATCCAGATACTCAACATCTCTGGTATGTGAGGTACACTGAGTAGTTACAGTTCCCCACTAAATTGACCTAATGGCATTTGAAGCTTTCTGCTTTTTAACCTAATGTGCTGTTATTGTAATGGCCAACGCAGGAAATGTCATGGCCTGGGAAATGCATTTGTTGTCCCTCTTCTAACAAATTGCAGAGGAATAAAATCCTGACTCTTGAAGAAAATGATTAACTGGACTGATTGATTTTCCTGAACATTGTACAGTCTGATTTAAAACAAATGTGCGTTTTTGAATTTTGTGGTGGGTGTGCAATGGTTTGATTACGAACAGAAAGTAAAGATTAAATTAACTTTTTCCACTTTGGTTTGTTTTTTTTTTGTGTGTTTTAGAAAAAGTACCAGGAGAACTAAAAGCAATGGAATTCTTCACATACCACATGCACTCCATTCACTATATAGCGAAATAACATGGGGTGGAATAGTTGGTCTTGAAGTACAGAGTCTAGGTAGTCAGAATACTAAGAGTTGACTATTAACGGTAATCTCTGATGTCATGTTATCTAAAATATTAAGTTCTTTTCTTTGCATATGGCTTTCAGTGGCCAATCTTCTGATCTTTTTCTGGGACAATAATATCAGTTATAGATATTAATCTCCTTTGAATTTGATAATTTTGTTTATGCTTTTTTTGTCCATTTTACATAGATCAAATTAAAAAAACATCACCTTTACCAGCTTCTAAGATCACCTTACTGGTCTATATACAGTTTCTGGTATTAGGAGTTTCTTTTCATATACCCCAGCTTGCTCTCCATGAGACGCACAGACAGGGAGAGAAGCTTGGGGTCAGAGCCCAGGGTCAGCCATTTATACAGCGCCCCTGGAGCAAGTATTGCTCTCTGGCCCAACGTTGTAGGATTTCTCTGCCGGTCATGGGATACGAACCTTCCAGCCACAGGCGAAGATCCTTAGCCACAGACCCACCGCTTCTAGCCTGATCCTGTCAGATCTCCTGCTTGCCGAGTTCGGCTTCAGCTCTCCCGCGACTCTATTGGATAAAGCAGTTAGAAGATGCCTGGTCTCATCTCAAATATGTTGTGGCAGGGAGTCAGTGGGCCTTTGCCCAAGTCTGTTCTCAGTAAGACCTGTTAATCTCTGACCTTGATTAAGGAGATTACATATAGAAGGAGTACTTTGAAGAACCCCTTAATTGAGTGGACAAGGAGGCAGCATCTTAATCCATGGGTGAGACTGGCTCCATCACATTCTTCTGGAGTGCTGAACACGGTTGGGGTATCATTGCTAATGCACTTTTTATGCAGAGGTAAGTGTATATACTGTGTGTTATGCACTCCTATAAAGGTGGGTGTTGGGTTCACATCTTCGCAAAAAGGCATGAAAGGGTTTGTTTCAAGTATAGAGGCATCTGACTCCTAGGACCCCCCAGTGAAACCTTTGTGAGATTGCTGGAGAGAAGCACTGGTCTCCTCATTTAACCTCATATTCAAGAGTAATAGGGCAGATTCCATCTTAGTTGCGGAACAAAAGACAAGCTCTTTACTCTACTGCACTGTACTCAATGGGTGTGTGTGATTTTGACAATCTGGTCCACTACTGTTTTTTTTTTTTAATTTGGAGAATGCATCTTCTGTTTATAATAATTGAAAGAGTTATCAACAGAATCATGGTTTCTTCCAAAGCACCTCCCAACTCAGGGTTCCTGTCAGATTTTGTTGTTGAATTTAAAAATCCAGGACCTACAAGGCTCTGCATGGCTTGACACCTCAGTACCTGTCTGAGCTATCGTCCTAATCCCCACCTCGCAACTTTTGCTCTTCTAATTCTCCTAACTGTCCCCCCAAACCAGTCTACACTCTATGGGTGACAGGGCCTTCTCCTGTTATGCCCCAAAGCTCTGGAACTTTATCCCTAAGGAGATCAGAGAGTCAACTTTCCCTGAACTCTTCCAAATCTAACCTTAAAACATTCTTTAGAAGAGCCTTTACCTAACTGGTTCTGTTATGTACCCCTTTGCTTCAATTGTATTCAGTACCTCCATTTACTGTCTCCTCGCATATCTTGTCTATGTTTTTGTTGTCATTCTGTAATTATTATACATTTTGCAAGAAGTGCTGTGCATAACATTCTTAGCATCAAGTCACTCTGATGCCTAAAGTGCATCTTATCTCTCTGTTCCTATTGGTGATTTTCACAGACAGGATGTCAAGGTACAGCCTTGGTACAGAGCTATCCGATATGGGAGGCTGTGGAGTTACAGTTAATAATGGTTAATTGGCATCTATAAAATTGTAGCCGTGTACACGTGTGCGTTCTGCAGTGGATGGATTTAATACTGTTGGCAGGCAAGTATCGTGATTTGTCTCTGGTCTTTGGTAACGGTATTTTGTGGAACAACTATCATGTTGCATTTTATTTCTTCTAGATGCAATAATGAAGTAACGTACAGCCCACACAAACAAATAAGCACCGTTCCTTAATATATCTTTATTGCTTAAATGTTTTCAATACAGAACAGCTTACATTTCTGAATTTGAAGCACTGTACAACTTAATACAAAGGAAAGTAAAGTACCGACGCACAGCATTTGGTTATCTGTTGTAGTCTAAACCAGTCTTGATACGGATGTAGCAGCAGTGCAAGTTCCCTTTACAATAATACAGATTCTGAACTTCAACAGTGATATAATGGCAATATCATTGGTTACACAATCATACTGATTCCTTCTTGACTAGAGAAAATTCAATAAAAAAGCCTTTTTGAGGAAACTGTTAAAACGCAGTACAGTGGAAAGACACGACCACCTTCAGGTAGTCATAAACCAGAAAGTTCTGTTATGCTTTCTCAAATCTGTCAAAATGAATTCACAGTCAAGTGCTAAATGTAGTGATTGAAGTTATTTAAAAAAAATGGAAGAAAATTTAGGAACTTAGGAAAAAAATTAAATGAAATATTGAATAATGCATTCTGTAAAAGCCCTGAGAGGAAAAATAAATGAATTAATAAAAGAAAAAAATAGGTTAACATGCAAAACTAGCCTACAATTCACCCATAGCTGAACACATAATAAATTTCACAGTTTTATGTATATATTTATATATATATTTGAGAAAACAAAATAATTCCTCAGTCTAATAATAATAAAAATGTGAGGAGACCACAAAATCTACTAACATAGATAAAGGTCTACATAAAGCTTCAAATCAATAGTGATTATTACTAACATGAATCCCAATTTGACACAGGGCGGCTACTTTATTTTCATATATTTTGCAGCATACATTGATTAATGGCTTCTCCTCAGGTTACCAGGCATGAATATCTCAGTACTTTATCATTATTTTAGGAAGTTATATGTATCTTTGTGGAAATTACATACACACTCACAAATCAGGTGATGAACAAGCTGGTTACTTCTTTTTCATCTGAGCAACCTGTACATTGCACATCTGAATCATGTGTGAAGTCCAATTTCTTCACTCCAGTGGTATGATGCTACCACTTGTTGATGAAAAGCCAAATTTACCAGCAATACAAAAAGATTTGCACCCAAGTTTGTCCCGAACACTTATTTACTGTTTAATAGGTCGCCTGTCGTTTAAAGAACCAACTTCATAACCACCTGTTCCATTTAAAAATGCACCCTTTCTCAATTGTTAATTTACAGCACCCTAGTCCATAAAAAATGTTTTTTTTTTGCTTTAGTTTATTGCTTGGGTGTCTTTTTGGTAAATACCAGATTTAAGATCACTTGAACCCAAACCTGGCATGAATCATTTCTGCTGGTGCGAAAACAAAACTTACCAACATTTAGACATATGTCTTACAGTTTTCCTTTTTATGAGCCTTGAGGTTTTGAGGTTTATTTAAAAATAAAACAGAAAATACAAAAAAAAAATCCAGACCAACATCTGGATAACATCTCTGCAAGAGTCAATATTTTGATTCCAAAAGGCAACATGCACAGGAGAACTGCACAGCTGATAATGTAAAGGGACAGTAGGATACATTGTTCAAGTACAAATACAAAAACCTCAAAAAATAGTGTTTCTCCATGCATTCAGATAGAATTAAAGAGGAAAGATTCCACTTAAAACTTTGCAGAATCTCTGATAAGGCTTTTTACAACATGAAGAATGATATGGAAGACTTCTCGGTCATTTTATTTCCAGCCACCTGGTCTTGAACAGATTCTGTTCATACAGACACTCGGGAGACTGCTCTCAATGTTACCCCAACCTTTCTCTCCCCAAATGGAGCTGTAGGTGACAAGTGCACTTGGTGACAGCTGAACAATATTAAAATCCCAAGCCACCTGTTCTGGAGCTCCTAATCAAACCAATTTTAAACTGTCACAAAAAAAGTCGTTAATGAAGTAATGAAGTTCAGAATACATCAGGCAAATATTGCCCACATTTCTCAAGTGACAAGAGAATACCAAATCTTGACATCAATAAAAAAGGACATTTAAAAAGAACAGCTGGATTGTTTTAAAGTGGAGAGTTCGGGGGGTTTATTAAGAAACAGATCCCCCCCTCTCGTTAAGAAAGGTTGTTAAAACCCCACTTGAACAACACTGGAGTCGTAGTTAACAGGAACAGGCGGTCTTTCGGTTGTTCCCATAATGTTTAACACGCTGTTTTTCCAGTTACAGCTGGTAGTATTCAAGCCTTATTTTGCAGCCTTTGACCAATGAAATTGTTTTATCATCAGATAATAGCAGCTGCATTTAAATACACAAACACATTTTTCTGTTTTAATCAAGCATACCAAGCAGGTATGGTAAAACATTTTAATGCTATTAATTAAAGTACATTTCTTTAGGAGGAAAAAAAAAACATTAAAAATGCTACTCGAAAAAAAAAATATTATATTATCTGTAATATGTAACTTGATACAAAGATCTAGCAAAAGTAGTAAGGCACTCCAAAAACAAGATTACAGTCCGTTGCATTACAAATTCATGGCACTGTCACAGAAGTAACACAGCGCGCTCTGCATAATAAAAAGAAGGCTGTAACAAAACACGCCTCCCGGTCACTCCACCTTCACAAGCTGGGGTTCAGGTGAAGGCAGGATGCTGTCCAGAGGGGTCTTGGTGTGAATCTCCAGCCGGCCTTGAATGTAGTTATCCGAGGGCTCGACAGAAGGTCCCGCTGACCTTTCTTGCTCGTCCGGCTTCGCGGCAGAGGTAGCCTGGGCCAGGCTGGCACTGGCTCCTTCGCTTTCGTTCTCCGAGGGGGGGCTGGTGCTGCTCTGCGTGGACTCGCTCTCGCTGCCCGAGCGGCCCCCGCTGCCGCCCCCCTCCTCCTCGCCCCCCGTGCCCCCGCCCGCCCGGAACTTCTGGTGGATACGCTGGTGCCGCACCAGGCTGTGCTTCAGCGTGAAAGTGCGCTCGCACGTCTGGCACTTGTAGGGTCTCTCGCCTAAGGGACGGAGATCAACAGGGGGAAAAAAAGCTCCGTGTTAAGCAGGACAGAAAAACACATTCTCACTCCCCCCCCCCCCCCTTTCCTGTTTCGAATAACCATTTTTCACGTCTCCATAGTTTGAAATTCCCCGCCTTGCTATTAAATCCTTCCGAAGAACACCTGGCAAGGTGGGGCACATTTCAGAGGATGCATCGTTATCGGGCTCTGCAACTCTCTCACACTGCAAGCTCCGTCCCCGCACATTAAATCTAAAGCATCAGATGGGAGGACTGATGCAGCTCTCGGCAAGCAAGCTCACAGGCAACTGGCCGGTTTTAGGGGCTGCTGTTGTGGGACAAAATAAAGGAACCATCTAACTTCAGTATCTCAGAAAACCTGATAATGCTCAGTCCATTGTTGGCTTAAGAAATGCTGAAACCTGGACAGTCAATGACAGACGCACTCTTATCTTTTGACTAAAGCTCATCTCATAGTCCTAAAGGATGGCGTTATAGTTTTAGCCACTTTGAAGTCCTCCCAATTCTCTTAGCCTTTTCTGTTTGCTGCCATGCAGGGAATTCTCCATTAAATACAGTCCCTTGTAAAATCATAGAATTATCCTACAGGAATATGAATATCCTACAACACTTCAGCAACTGATACAAACATCAGCATTCTACATTATTGTCTGCATTAAAGTGATGCACAGCGCCAACATCCCAGATATCATACTGGTATATTCGCACCTGCACCACTTTGTGCTGGGTGTTCATGTCGCATTTAGTTTCTTCCTAAACCAAGCTGACTCCGCTTAAAAAGGAACAGATTATATTATCTTTCGTTGTCAATTAATGGCAGCAATGATAACGACAACACCATTTCCTTTACAGAGCGTGCAGAATGAACTCGGTGAAGGCGTTTACCTGTGTGCGACCTCATGTGCCGTGTCAGATCCTGCAGTGACCAGAAGCGTTTGTTGCACACGTTGCAGATCTTTTTCCGCTTGTCGGCCTTGCTGTTGCCGCCCCCTTCGCTGCTCTTTGGTTCCTTGTGGCTGCTCTCCTCGTCACTCTTTCCCTCCCCCGCGGCCTTCTCCTCCTCCTCCGAAACGCTCTCCGCCCCGCTCCCGTTGTTCTCGGCCTCGCGCGCCGCCGCCGCCGCCGCCACCTTGGGCCCGTCTTGTTTTTCCGATTCCCCGCTGCTCTTGGCTGCTCTGCCTGCCTCCGCGGCTGCTTCCGCGGACCTCCTGGTCACCTTCCTGTTGCTCCCAGCCTGGCTGTCCGGGATATGGGCTTTCTCATGCCGCGTGAGCGTGGCCGCGTACCTGAAACTCTTCCCGCAGCTCCTGCAGATGTGTTTGCCCTCCTCCTGGGAGCTGCTCCCCGCTGCCTGGTCCCCCTCAGAGAACTTGAAGTCGATGAGCTTGCTGGCGAAATTCAGGTCCAGGCTCTTGTTGCTTTGGGCATCGTCGTCGTTTTCCGTCTCCTCTGGGGCGGTCTCGGCAGGCCCGGTCTCCTCTTTCTTCTGCGTATTGTCCTTGGTCATCTCGGCCTTGTTCTCGCAGGTCTCCAGTTTGTGCTCTGCTGGCTCCTTTGCGGGTTCGGTAGTGGTCAGGTCCAGCACTTCAGCTGATGGAAGCTCTGTTTCTGACAAGCTCTCTGAAACAACAAACGATATGTCTCAGCTTGGAGTTATCCAAAAGGGGACAAGCTGCAGAAGTCACCTTTACGTACACTTCCTTTTTCAGGCTGGTGTGTCACAGAACAATCAAGTGATGCCCAGTCAAAAGTAAGACAGAAAGCTTTTCAAAAGTTTCAGGTGCTTGAGTGATTCCATTCTATCATTCATATCCATTATATAAGATCTGTAACTAATATGGAGAAGAAAATGTAAATTGAAAGCATTTTACCACAGAGTAATGAATATTTCAACTAAACTACCTTAACTGGGTTTCTGAAAAATGAAAAATGCACCTTCAACTACTTTACACCAGGTACCACCTACAGTTCCGCTATAAAGATTTATCTATATTCATCAAACGCAAACAATTTCTGATAGCACACCAGAGACTGACAGGCGATAATCCTTTGCCCTGGACATACTGCATAAATCTCATAATGGTACCCACTAGAGGGCAGCACACGATTGTAGAAGACAGGATCTGACAATGTCTTCTCAAATTACAAAGGTCATCTATAGATATTCACAGCCAATTTTATTAAGATTTATTGTGATAGCAGAAATCACAGCTTTTTTTTCCGGACAAGCGGAGTTCAAGCTTGTTGAACTACTTACTTGTCTAAGGAGTTTCAGAGAGAGGCATGCTCAGGTGAGATGGGGCTGACCTTCAAAGTCATACATTCTATAGTCTGACACTGATTACAAATGCAAAAGTTCAGTATGAAATGCTGACCGGATCTTTTTAAGTATGCTTTAATTAGGTACCTCCGTTCCAGCGATTAACGTTTGTCTTTTGTTGCAACATTTGGATGAGAATGATCTTGCGCCAACTTTTTGCACAGCTACACAAGAAGACACTGTGAGAATTCAGCAGATTACACCCTACCCACATCCTTAAGGAGTGGCAAGGCAGTGATTCATTTAGACCAGATGACGTTGTGTGATTTGTGATGGTAATTTTTGTTTCTGCTGGGAAACGGGGGGGAAGCCGTCGTACTTACCTCCACTTTCATGTGATCCTTCATCCCCTGTCTTGGATTTTGGGATGGTACCATTTCGTCTCAGGGTACGATTGGCAACTCCATGTTTACGCAGTAGATGGCGCTCACAGTTGGACTTGGTTGAAAAAAAGGCATCACATTTTGGGCAGGGGTATGGTTTCTGACCTGGAGCAAAGACACAGCTTGTGAGTTTCTCAATGGCCTGTTCCAACTTGCTTAGTATCGTGTTTGTTTAAGGAACACATTATTGCTAATAAATACATTTCCAACTATGTCCACACTGCAGTGGATGCCTGAATAACCTTTTTCTCCTATGAAACACAATGTTATTATTGCTGCACTGACAGGGGTTGAACTAGTCAAGTTTAATGCTTTCAGGAGATTCAGATCGGGTGAAACTGCTGTGTGGGTTTTGTCCGCTCTTTCTTTAATTGGAATTTATCTGTAAATAGATATGTAAAAGGCATAACCTTTATCCCTAGTGCTTCCAAGAGCCAACAATTTTTTAATTCAATTAATCAGTTTTCATGATTTAATTTACGTACTGTCAGGCCAATCGGTTTCTCCAAACGTTAAGCTCCAGTGTGCATTATGAAAGTAGTGGCATCCATTGGAGAAGTGATCTGGCCCTCAATGGCCTGCAGGTTGACATGTACCCGGTGAGCTCAAAGACTTGAACCTTTACTAGCTGAACTAGGAGGAGTAGCCCAGTTTGGAAAATCTGCTTAATAAAGGAGCTTTTCTTAATGAACAGTGTGAAAAAGCTTCATGAAACTAATGAAGACAAGATCAGCTCCCACCTTTTAGAAACATCAGATTTAATTACAAAACTGCAACTGAGTGACTATGAACTATTTTTATGTTAGTTAGCTATTGTATAGGAGGGTTTTGCCTTGTATCTGCTACCTATAAACACAGCAGCAAAGTTCACTGGGATGCTGTGAACTTTGAACACACCGGAGATAATGTATCAGTTCTTTCTCAGGTTAATGATTTATACTTGGCTCAACGGTCACAGACATGTGAAGTACCAAGGGGTAAAATTTATGTCTGGGTACTACAGTTTATGACGCACCTTAAAGATAGAGCATCTAACATAAAATATCTTGTACATATCACACGCTAACAGATAATAGCAGTGCCTTCTAGCACTTAGATGAGGTGAGAAAAATAATGGCATTCCAGCTATTATCTACTTGACCACAAGAGAAACCGACGATAAAACAGGCCTTTTAGTTCATCAGAGCTCTCACTAGCATCCTACAATCTAAGTAATCCTATCAGCTTCTGACTAGGTACTTAAGAGGTTTCCTGTTTGAAGAAATTCAACCACATGACTTTAACAAAACGTCCCAGCTTTCTAAGTCCTTTTGTTAACCCTTGGAAAATAAAATTACTTGTGTCAGTGTCCTTGTATGTTTTTCACATCCTATATCCTATATCCTAATATTGAATGATTGATAAATACACAAAGGCCTCTGTCTTGAGAAGTACAACCATTGACACTGCTATCAGGAGTGCTAAAATGCTTAGTCACCTCTGTACCTGAGCCAAGTGCAGTACCATACGTTCCACTTTGACTTTCACTCTGATAATGCACACTGAAGTAAAGGCTAAAGCTTAGTGCTTAATACTGATACTATCAGATATATAAGTATTGTAAGTGTTTATTTCTGCTCACTGGGACGATGGAGTGCTCAGTAAATGTTGTCATTAATATCCTTAATGAAATCAGGTATCCGTTATAACCTCATGAAAGGATAGGGCACCTTCAAGTAGTCATTATCATATCGGGTAAGGATCTACGTCAGCATGTGCAGGCTGCAAAGGTACAGGTAAAGGTTTATTCCATGCTGAAAGGTAAAGAAAACAAAACAAACACTATTTTAGGCTATGTTGACGAAGGCACCACAGCCAAAATGTAGTGTTTCTTCTCTTTACCTTTCAGTATGGAATGAACCTTTACGTCTTCCATTATCATCATATCACTGACGCCTGTGCTGTTATTTTAACATTGTTGCTTTGTTAATTATACTCTGGTGGCACTGTTATAGTCCACAACGTACCCGTGTGAGTCAGCATGTGGCGCTGCAATGAGCTGGCCCATGGAAACACTCTAGGGCAGAAGGGACAGGTCATCTTCTGCAAGGAGTTGGCGTAAGCATTCTTCTTCCCTTTCATTTGCCTGTCCTCCTGGGACTCTTTCTCATCCTCACTAGTGGGGCTCCGCTCTCCCTCCTCCTTTACGCTGGCAGGGCTCGACTGCAGGTAGGGACTGAACTTGTTGGCATCAGTTGTGGCAAGCATCTTTTCGATGCTGGCAAATTCTCCGCTGGATTCCAAGTCAATCCCACCGCCACAGGTGATATTGTTGAGGCCCTCCTTGCTCCTGGTTGGTTTCTTCTTGCATTTTTTCTTGGAGACGCCTAGTGGCGCCTCGTCCATGGAAGCATCCAGATTTTCCTCGGCTGTGGACCTGGACTCAGCGGCTGGCTCAGAGTCCACCTGGGGACCTGAGAGGAGCCCCTTCAGGTTGGCACCCTTCTCTGGTCCCACAGTGCCACTGCTGGGAGGAGCTTCTCTCTTTAGGAGAGCAGGAGCAGATGACACAGAGGAGATGATCTGAGCAATTGACGCCAAGGGGGGCAGTTCCTTTGCTGCAGACAGTTTTGGCAATGGTGGTTTTGGCCTGATGGGCCGGAGTACAGAAGAACTATTGAGAGCTGCTGCAGGAGCTACAGTGAGGGCAAGCTGAAACGGGGCTTGTAAGGCTGGGTATTGTTTCTCCTCTACTGGTTTGTCCACATCAGATTTGCCTGGGAAGGCTGATGAATGAGGGAGGTCGGAACTTGGAGATGGCTGCTCTTTCTTGATCTCAACAGGCAGGACTTCCTTTTTCTTCTCAGAGTTCTTGGGAATAGAGAGGTCAATGGGCTCCATAGAACATTCATACTGTGAAAGCTGGGGTGCATGGAGACCCTCCAGTTTGACAGCCATGGTACTGGTATTCCGGCTCTTGCTGGAGAAATCCAAAGGCTGGTCCATTTCAGGTGAGTAGAAGCTCAGGGTTTCCGATTTGATGATTTGAGGGCCTATAGGAAGAAGCCCATTTTGATGGAGTGAGCTAGGTTGGGGAGAACCACTTACTTTGCTGGTGCTGGGGATAAAGGTGGCAATTTGGTCCTCTATTTCCTTTTCCTGTACCTGTGGGTGCTGCTTGAGAAGGTGATGGATGCAGTTCCTCTTGGCAAGAAAGGCAGCACCACACTGCCGACATTCAAAGGGCTTTTTCTGGCAGCCGTTGTGGGTCCTCATATGGATCTGCAGTGCCCGATAATTCTTGAGGTCTTCTCCACAGTAGCGACAAACCGTTTCTGTGGCATCCAGCAAGTCGGAGGCAGTGCTAGACACATATTCGATATTTTTTTCAATCTCCTTGCGTGTAGCCTTCATGTGCTTCTTGCGGAGATGCCGCTCACAGTTGGCCTTCACGGTGAAGGGGTAGTGACAGACACGGCAGACGTAGGGCCTCTCACCGCTGTGTGTACGCAAGTGGCGGATGAGGGTGGCCTTATCTGGGGCAATGTAGTCGCAGATATTGCACTGATAGGGCGAAATCCCCAGGTGATAGCGGATATGAGCTTGCAGGACACCAGAGAAGGCAAAGACCTGGTTGCAAAATCGGCATGGGTAAAGCCCCTTCTTCCCACCCTTCTTCCCACCAGCCTCACTGCTGCCTGCATCCTTTTCCTCGCTCATCTCCTGTTTGATCTTTTGCTCGCTCTCCATGGTCATCAGTGCATCGATGATGCCTTCTTGTTCAAGCTGAGTCTTTGTGTCCGCCTGATCTGCTTTTAACTCCTGGGAGCTAACAGATTCCCTCCCTGAACTCTGGCTGCTGGAGGAGGACTCATCGGGCGATTTAAGGAGCTGGTTGGGGGGAGGTGGAAGGCTGGGACTGATACAGCCTGGTGAGGCCTGCTGGGCACTCATAAGTGGGGGTGGGGTAGATGTGGCCACTGTGGTGCGGGGTGTAACCAGGGGCTTTGGCTTCAGAGGAGGCATCCGCTTGTAGACAGACTGGGTGGGAGTGCAGGGGGCTTTAGAAAGAGGAGGAAGAGTGATCTGTTGTGGTGCAGATGAAGCCATCTTAAGAATCTGCTGGATGTCAGCTAATTCAACACCGGTCTCACCGGAGATAGGTTTTACTACAACACTACTGTCCGGCTGAATGATGAATCCCTTCTGGAAGGGCTGGAGGGAGAGAAATTTTAAACTGTTTTTCTGGGTCACCTGAGAGAAACTAGTGAGAGAGGTGGGATCAAGGAGAGGGAGGTTCAACCCAGTGATACAGCTGGCCTCCTGAGGTAGGTTAGACTTGGGTGGCTCAACCCGTATGACTTTGATATTCTCCAGCTCTGCAAAGGCCGCCTCCTCCTCCTCCTTCATTGACTTGGCCTCGGAGATGTGCTGCAGCCCCAGAGATGCCATGTAGCTCTTCTTTTCTGGGTTTTCCACTGGAGCCCTTTGGGGCTTGACGTTTTCATCTTCCTCGGCTCCTTTATGGGTGTGCATGTGCAGATCCAGGGCGGACTGCAGGGGAAAGGCCTTGTTGCAGGTCTCGCACACGAACCGATGAAACTTGCTGGTGCACCTCCTCAGATTGGTCTCGCACCACACCTGTGGGGAAGTCACGACAGGGTTATGTCAACGGGCCAAGATATTTTCTCGCATAGTGATCATTTAGTAATCTGTTTTATTATTCGGGAGGGTGAGACAATTTTACATTCAGTTCTAAATTAAAACTACAGCGAGAGCTACCATCCTCAAGAAGAGATGCTCATTAATGTAAATTAGACTAAACTATTAACTTCAATTAAAGGTAATGAAACGGCATCGTTATAAAGCCAGGAGAACGCAAATAAATGTTAAAAGTTCTTTTATTTATTCTACGATCTAGGTGCCTAAACTGCAGACTAAAAGAACATTACATGGTGGATTTCACAAATTTAGCTGGATGCAGAAGACTCACGATAACCAACAGAACAACTACCAAGTTTATTCACCCTTTCCATACCTTTTGCCCCTTTTAGCAGTATATCTCACAGGGCACTGTACAACAATGACTAATAAGTGTAACTGATAACTGATGAAAGAATGACTCGCATAAAGTCAAAGAAATAAGATCGGGGTAAAAATGTTAATTAAAAAATGAAAGAAAGTAGAAACACTGATAGACCCTACCTCTCTAACAGTAGATCTAAGACCATTTTACCATTTAATCTATAAACTGTACATAAACTACAGTCACATCTGAAATGCAGATGAAACCAGTTACCTGAGCAATGCGAGGAAACTTGCGGCAGGAGAAATCGATGAAGGCCAGGTCGTTGAAGCCCACGGAAATGGAGGGGTTGTTCTGGATGAAAGGCTTTCCAGAAGGGTCGGTGGGCAGCTGCCTGTGGACGACGGTGTTGTGGCGGAGCAGGCCGCGGTGAGTGCGGAAGGAGATGCAGCAGAGGTCACACCTGGAAGACACAAGAGTCTCCGTGTTAGCAGGGTACAGGCCCCTCCTGCTCCAAGCTCCGGCTCGGACTCAGGGGACGCTTCCCCATGCAAGTGAGTTACTGCCATTTGATACTGAGGTCCTGCTTTCAGAGGCTCTACAGCAGGAGGCCTTGATTTGTACAGTGTATGTAATACTTGTCACATTTTTCAGTCCCTTCCAAAAATGCATTAGATTACAATGATTAATTTGCTGAATTTGAACTTTTTACCTACAAAATTGTTCATAGGTGATCTGAGTATTTAAGATTTTATTAAATATATTCTCCTAAAAACTATGCATACAGCATTGGTAATTCATCAAAACAGAATATCACTGGAAGGGAACACTTTTGCAAGGTACTCTATAACAGCAGTCCACTGCTTTGTTTCTATGCACAAGATTCTTAGGCTATACAAGTTTGCTAAAATGACTGTCACTCGTAAATGAGATACTTTTATGAGATCGTTTTTACATTTTCTTTATTTCACCAAATATAACACTAGAGTGTTGGCTTCCCTCTACATATACACACTTGTATGATGTCTGAAATGACATATTCAAAAGAAGCAGGATTCTTGGAAACATCAGCTGGTTGATAGTAATGATTAAAAAAAGCATTAGAAAGCAGACTGTCACTTCTATCAGTTCCACTCCGCCAAGGACCTCAAAAGCAAAGAATGTAAGCAAATAAACCTATTAGCACATTTTTACATGTTATAAATTCTCATTCTTCCTCAGCACTTTAAACCATATTTCTCCATGGAGGTACTGCATTAGCTGAAAAAGGAACAAGTAAAGATGCATTTCCAAATAAAAAGTAGAAAGAAAAAAGTTACATTTCAGCTGTTGAGTCTCCTCTAGGCTGAATGGGATGTCTTTAGATGCAAAGCCTTCCTCACACCAAAAGGCGGCATACAGCCAAAAGGTGTTTCTCTTTCAGTCTACGTTTCAGAATGGAATTAAGCTCTACTTCCCCATTTCTCTATGAAGAGCAGAGTCAAAAATAACGGAATGTGAAAATCACCTTTTCATTTAATTTCTTTGAAATTAAAATGAAAAGTATACGTACATTTCTAAGCACACAAATTAAAACAGCTCAGTGTCTGACATCATGTCTAAACACCTTACTTTCATTTGATTAAAGATAAAACAGTTAATTTAAGGAAGACTAAGACAGTATCGGTAAGAATGTAAGTAAGCACTATGTGAATAGCAACAGAGCAACTGACAGGCTTTACTTTAATTAAAAATGCCGCCAAGTGTGAGAACCAGACAAGGAACACCCTTTGTGAATATGACTGTGTTTCAAGGGAGATTCTTAGAAATGCCTGTAGTGATTCCAGAGTTTTTTTCCCCACTTTAACATATGTATTGGACATTGTCCTTTTCTAGTATGATTATATAAACTATCAAACCATGCTCAAAATCTTCTGAAGTATTTTTATTGGAAAATATTAAGAGATTTTCTGAATGCATTTCTAAGATGTAGATGTTCAAATAATTCTATCACCCCTGCCAGTGCTAACCTTGTATTCATTAAGTGCTGAAAGAGGCAACTGTGGATTGTTTAGGACACGTATGCGCCTATTATCACCACGCCACTTATACAGGATATGAATAGGTGTCTCTAGTGCCGTAATCTGTTTTATCTCAGTTGACACTTGCTGTGACTCCACCGAGGTAATATTGTGTCTAATCACTGTTTTGCTTCCCAAGGGACCCAACTGCATTTAGTTCCCTGACCTCCTAGTGGGAGCTGGTGGTTGCTACTGATTTTGGAGCTCAGAGTGCTCCCCCTTGACAAAATACAGCAGATTTTTGTGCGCTGTTAAATAAGAAGCCCACCACCTGAGGGGCTTTTGGAATTCCCATGAAATACAGAGCCTTGAAATCACCTTCCAGTTACAATGAGCACCACGATGCCGGCTAGTATTGCTCTAACCTGTCAAGGCCGGACTTTTCCCACCACCTAAAGCACAGTGAGACACTTCCCCAAAAGCTACAGTTTAAACAGTGCAGCACCTTGTCTCTGTGCTTCACTTGGAGGACAATGGAGGTCATTGTAAATCCTGCTCTGCAGCAGTAGGTAGCAGTTACACCATCAGGCTCCTGAGCCCTCACATGATTAAGCCACCTCAGTCAGACCTGCCACTTCCAATTAACAACAGGTTTAACATCAGCTGTGAAAAGCCAGATTACGGAACAAAAACAAGGCAGAAAATACAGCTCTTGTTCTCACCATACTGTAGCAAGGATCTCCATTTCTAGTTTTGATTCCTGAAAGCTACCGAGTGGATTCAAGCAAGGCACTTTCCCAGAGATGGTAGGTCTTCGGTTTTGCAAACAACAATTCTTTCTATGCAATTCTGTCAGAGCCGGATATTTTATCATCTACTTTCTGCCACTGCATCAGACAGATGCTGGAATGTTTGTGACTCTGGCACAGAACCAGCAAAACAGCACATGATGCAAAAGAAAAAGTCAAGCTAAATGTGTTTTTTGCACCCTTGAATAGTGTTAGTGGAATCAGGAGATGGCGAACTATTGCTGTGGCTCTGCTCACTCAAGCAAAGTCGTTCTCCCTGTATTTTCAGCGAGTTTCAAACTCAAATCAAAGCACAGTCAAACAGAGCTGGGAGAGGCTGTATCAAGTCATTCTGCAGCTTGCTATCCATCTCCAGGGCCAGTCACCAGACGACGAGCAGCTGGACTCATCAGTCCCAGACGTCTGGTGCTGGAAAGCTTCCTTTAATACCACTTCAGCTCCCACCCCCTTCCTCCCTTTCCCACTATTCACCAAACAAGCATCGCGATTCAGGCCTCTTCGGCACAAGGCAGAACCCACACAAAGAGCACGACTGTCTGCTCGCAGCAAGACGTCGTTTCACCAGCGAACAAACCCTTGTGCGTAAAAAAAAAAAGGCAAAGGTAAAAAATTCACGCCCAGAACAATACAAATAAAAATGAAAATTACTTTTATTTTTAATGGCTGAGACAGACATGACAGAGTAGTGTCTTTACTCTAACTCAGGATTTATAAATCTTCAATTAATCCTTGCTTGATTAGCAAAAATGAATGGCCCACAAACAAGACTATACTGTAGCATCTGTCCAACTTTTAACTGCTTTATCCAGTTCAGGGAAAGATGGAACCTATCCCAGCAAGCACAGGGGGCAAGGCAGGAAATACCCTGGACAGGATGCCAGTCCATCACAGGGTACACACACATACACAGACACGCACACACTCTCACCAGAGGCCAATTTTCCAAAGCCAGTTAACCTACCAGCACGTCTTTGGACTGTGGGAGGAAACCGGAGCACCCAGAGGAAGTGAACACGGAGAGAACATATAAACTCCATGCAGACAGGACCCCAGGGCCGGAACTGAACCCAGGGCCCCAGCGCAGCTAGGCAGCAATGCTAACCACTGTGCCACCCTACACTGAAGTATATTTATCCAAAGACGGCAGGTCATCCTGTCTGCAGAAAAAAAAACATTTTGATAATCTCTTCTTCCTTGAATTTTAATGGTTAAAACAAAATGTCACTAAAAAAAGAACCAGTAAGTAACAAATAACTGTTGTCTCATATGCTGATTGGTATGATGTCAGAGGCAGAACCTAATAATTTAAAATCCCTGCAGGAAAAAGCTCACACCTTGACCTTATTTAATGCCACATTCCAGTCATATACATAGAAAATAGTGTTAGACTATTTAAAACCCCTGTCAGTTTCTTCTGTAAATGATGTTTACGTAAACATATTACCAAACACCCTTTCAAAATGCCTTTTCCATGGGCTGTGCGATTCCTGCATTTTCAGGCACGAACAAAATAGGGGGTAATACCGTCTGCTACACTACACAACATCGAAATATGACACCATTTATAATTCCACTTGAATACATGAAGAAGGGATAACTGCTCAAAAACTATTTGCACTTATGACATTGCTTTATAGAAACGAGTGTCATAGAGCATACAAAGGTTGTGTTCTTGTTCTTGGTAGAACAGGAGGTGGCACTCTTTCATCTGAACCAGAGGTTTCAAGAACAAAACAGTGACAGGAAGGTGACAGGCTGCAATGTGCTCTGGGAGGTGCTCTCATTTAGGTGAAATGTTAAACTGAGGTCTTGATTATTTGGCCATTGAAGATCTGCAGTATTGTTTGCAAGTGCTGGATTTGTAGTCCTGGGCTAAAAAAGAACTCTTGGTTCACCCACCTAAATTCCCCCTTAATTAAACCAAAGAAGTAACTTCCCCCTTCTCTACCTTATTTACTGTATAGCAGAGTTGCAATGCATGACTCTAGTGGGGTTGACATAGTAATAAGTGTCTTGTACTTAAAGAAAGAATAACTGATATTTCAGACCTTGACACCTATCTTTCGGACTAAAACGACAAAACTGTTCGGAATGTAAAATTTCATATGATGGCTTCCTATTCACAAATTCCTATTACCTCACAGGTAATATCTTAAAACATGCCCTGGGACTAGAAAAGTGGCTGTTATTACTACCTTTTATCATTGCGTTAAGAGTACTTAATTATCCATAGGAGAACACTATTGCTTACTGTAAGTCAGTTAATTAGCCCGTTTAACTTTGTACATTACTTATCAAGACAAAAAAATGTGTGGAAATTGTGAACTGCTCAACAATGGCACAGAGCAGCTAAATTTGTTTATTCTGACTTTCTCCTGTAAGTGATATCAAATAATCTGTTAGAAAATACTGCCACTATACCAACCACTGCCTGTGTTCCTAACAATTTTTAGAAATGCCTTTGAATAACTAGCTAGCAAACAAAGGTTCAAACTACTAAACTGAATACTTAAAACAGAGAAAACAAAGTTCACACTGAAGGAAAGCTTGTTTCACTTTTTGTTCACATTAATCAGACTGTATGTCCTTGAGCACCAAATATTTTGTAACAAAAGGCAGATTAGTGAGTACTAGACAGTGTTTTTGTGAACGAGAGAAAGAGTAAAATTTATTGCCCAACACAAAGAAAAACCTAACAGGGAAAAAAATGTGAATTATGATATAGTGGAAACTGATACCTCTTGCTTTACATAAACCATTTTAGTTTTAAAATACAATGTTTTTTTTTCCAACTTGTAGAAAATCCCATCCAATTATGCATTTTGAGGTAACCTTCTGATTTAAGCCTTTCAACTCTTCTTGGCTTTGTTATGACTACTGTGTTAACAGAAAAATGATGCAGTGCCCTGAGACAGTTTTTTACGCATGAAACTACAGATGACAGCCGTTAGCATTTGGGTTTCAGGAAAAGCATCGAGCAGGTCAATGCAAATCTGAAATGTGTAGAGACATGTCTAGCCAACATTACACCCATTCACTAATTTCTCAACTCACAAGACTGTGGAGGGAAGAAATGTCTTTACTGTGCCCTTATTATGTATCACAATGAAAAGGGGATGGGGTGGAATTACCAGTTAATTAAATTAGTGTGTGTGTGTCTGGGGTGGAGGGGGACAGCAATAACAAAACAACACAAAAACAAAAACTTGGGACAGAGTATAATCGCCAGAGCTTGAATTATTGTCCATGTCTAAAGTGAGAAATCCAACTCCCCATTTGCTTGCTCCAAATGTAATGTTCATGTGAAAAACCAGGTGAGTTTTCAGGTTTAGGTACAACACGCAGAACTCCGAGTGAAACAAACCAAGTGCCCCTGTGTCCACGAACACACAACGGCCTGACTGAGCAGGGCGGTACCTGAGAGTGGTGTCTGGATGAGTCTCCATGTGGGTCTCCAGCCCATATTTGCATATGAACGTCTTGAAGCAGATGGGGCAGTGCAGTAGGTCCTCCTCTACTTTAGTGTCCTGCTCGTCTCCTGGGCTCTCTTCTGACGCCTGTGGGCGCGAGCACACAACCCTCTTTTAGCATACTAGCAGCTAGGCTTTCCAAAGTGCCTCCTTTACTTGTTGTGCTGTATTGCATCACCTTGTCAGCCCAGGGAAACTACATATAAAGAGGTGCACAGTTCCAACTGTCAGGAGTGAGGTTTCTCAATAAAAGGAGACCTTCAAGGAAATCTGTAACTAAAGATCTAGATTGTGGGGAGATAACCCATCCATTGAACTGTCCAGGAAAAGGAACCAAAATAAGGGAGACTCCTGATAAATAATGGAAAGGGAGCAGAGATGCAAAAAAGAACACAATCAGGTTCAAATTCTCAAAAAGCTTTTGAGAAGGGGTATTCTTTGACATCTGAAACAAATTGGAAAACCGAAGAGTTTTGAAAACCTTAATATATATCATCTGAAGAACTTGGAACCCTTTTGGGATGGTTGTTTGTTATTGAACCTCTCAAACCGTTAGGAGGTATTAATATCAGCTGGCCTAAACCGAAAAAAAGGACTTTCACAGTTATCGCTCCAGTACAGAATCTGCTCCACCTTTTCTGAATCACCTAAAACTCCACCTTGGATTTCAACACTATATTTAATAACATAAAAATACATTTTATTTTTCTTATTTCAATTTTTTCTTGCAGGTCATTCACATTTAAAGTTTTGCAGCGTCTTTCAGAAGGTTTTGATCACGAGCAAAAAGGCTTTGAAGATCACCATGTTAGAGCATAGTTGGTCACATGATAGCTGTCAGTCAAAATTCAGGGGTGGTTCCAGGATTCCAATGAAGGAATAAAGGAAGAACTCCCTTCTTTCTTCCTCGACTGAAAAGGCCGTGGCTCTGTGCCACTCCTCTGTAGGCCGAGAACCCTACCCTTTTGCTGGGTGGATCCTCTGGCTTCTCTGTATCGCCCTCTTGGCTGAGTTTCCTCTTTGTTGACAGTCTCCTTCTCTTTGTAGGGGAGGGTGGACTGGAGGGCACCACACTGCTTGGGTCCTTATCATGAATCTTCATATGTCTGAAAAGAAGATGAGAAATGAAACATACGGTATGGACAATTCAGAGACACAAGACCGGCCTGCGTGTTTTTGGAAGGTGAGAGGAAACCGCACCACCAGGAGAAACCTCACATGGACACACAAGAGTCACAAGCAGACTCTAGAACACACCACCAGGTGAGAATCAAACCCAAGGCCTGAGAGCTATGAGGCTATTTTCACTCTAAAATATTTTAGCTCACCAACATTAAGCCCCCAAATGTTTTATCACATTTTTTAATGTAGAACTGACTGCTGCAATGCTGTATTTTACAGCACAATAAAATCTTAAAATCACCTAGCACCCCAAAATCTGCAAGATCTTCTCATCCATATGCCTTCAACAATTAATTCTGAGTCAGTGTTCCTTAATTCAGTAACAAATTGCTGGCAGTAGAAATCTGAACTTCAGATCTCCTAAACTGTTGAGCCTGGTTTGTACAAGATTTTTGTGTGGCTGTTTTAGAACATACTTTTATGGCTTGTCCTATGCGTATTGATTGATGATATGAATATTCTGAAGTTGACTAATAAAACTGATTATGACTAATTATTTCTACGGTATTTTTGAGTGTTTAACATTTGACTTTTCGGCAAATAACTGAGGAAGTGTTCCCTGCTGTTTAAAAAAGTGACAGTTTGCCAATGCTATATATACATATATAAATACACGTATTCGTTCTGTTTTTTCACACTGACTAGACATCCCATTGTACATTAATACTGCTTTATAATAATACAATAAATGTGTTATAATCTATTGCAATAACCTCTTCAAAAGGTTACAAAAATGCCTTACAGCATCCAAAGTGAAATCATTAATTGTAAAACTCAGAGCATTACATGAAAATAAAATTGTATGCACATAAATAATGCTTTCTTTTGAGTTTGCTTTTTTCAGCCTTGGCCATTCATTCTACTTATAGACAAAGATAAACTGCTGCCACAGACATTTTTGCCCCTGATCTGGACAATCTTCTCTTTTGCTGATGAACTGTATCAATGTAAAAATGGTAAAACTGGGAGAAGATTAAACAAAAGCTGAAGAGCAAATGTACAGCCTTTGGCTTACCAACCACCTTCTTACATTTGTAAGCTTTTAATTTCATTAGTTATACATAGAATATTTACAACTGTTAGGGTGAAAAGCTCTCTGAATGGAAAAAGCCTTCTCAGGGTTAGGAGCTATTTATCTTCTTTTAGTCTATAAATATGGACTCTATATTACTATATCCATTCATAAAAACTCAAAGGGAAGCTTTTGTGTCTTGTAATTTTAAAAAGCCCATATTTTATTCTCAGTAAATTCCACTATGAAAAAAGTACACATTGGTGACTTTCAAACATAACCAGGTTTCAGAAGAATAACCACACAAGTACTCTTCAGGGTTTAGATCACATTTTAACACAGAGAAAACAATTATGTATTGTTCATAAGTAGTGTATAATATAAAGAAAAACACTTTTCAGTTCTATTATGCATTTTGAAAATATGCTTGCTTCATTGAGTCTAATCTTATATTTATAAACAAAAATGCTTTAGTATGGTTTCGTTGTAAAGTATTTCCATAATCAGCCCCTTTAAGGGAACAACTGTAGTTCTTATAAAGCGAGCAGCAACATGCTGCTACAGTATTTTTTGGGTATTTGTGGAAAATGTGAATAGCTCAATGCAATTCATCCCTGACTTCCAATCTTCTGTACCAGAGATAAAAAAGAATACAAGCTTTTCACATGAAACAAGTGCACTGTCAGGAATACTGACTTCTTCATATACAGTCAACCTCAAGTTAGCCTAGAGAACGTACTTACCCACAACCCTAGGCTAGCTCAGCAAATTATACCCTGCACTCCTGACAACTCTCTACTGCATTGTAAGAGGGCAAATTTGTAATGTTAGATGTCCTATAAAGTAAGCAAACTGACACATGCCCAAATAACATTTATGCATATCCAGTCTCCTGGTTTTAACAAAGGTGTGGATAATAGACAACAGCTGTCATTCCTTTTGTCCTATGTCTTAAAATGCTGAAAGGTTTAGCTGCAATATAGCAGGCCAGTTGTCCTTTACAGAAGGCCTTAGGCTGATGTTTATTTTTTATGTGACAAGACAGCACAATTCAAACCGACGTCTTTGCATATGCAAATTAATTTAGTTTGAGTAGGCTTTTACATTACTCCTGCCAAGAAAAAAAAAACTTGTCTTAAAGAGGTAACAGAAGGCAAAGAGAAAGTTATGCTTAATAGAGTCAGAACATGTGGGTGGGGCAGCATCTGAGATGAACACAACGACTCTCAGGCTCATTAAGTCATCACAGTTCTAATCCCTTGTGAACCATAATGAAGTCTTGGAAGGCAATTTCCACACCAGAGCTTTGAGTGGAGCTTTTAGTCGTCTTAAAGCATTACAGCTTTCTTTTAGAAAGTTAGTACAGGTATCGACCTCTTTCTGAAAAAGTGAAAAGGAACCACTATGCAAAATAATGTCTAAACAACAACAAAAACAAATAAAATGTGTATAAGGGAGAGGTTTAAAAAATATATATTTTTAATTATTTCTATTAGACTGTCCTTTTGTGTCACCAAAAATAATTGAACAATAACAAAAGTAAATGCAAAAACCAAACAAAAAAGTAAGGGCAAAATCTGGGAAATTTCAAACAACACTAGAATCTTTTTGGAATTGATTGAGATTTTTATTTAACAAAATCAAGATGGAATAAGAAAGCACTTCGTTCAAGTTATTTGTATTAAGGATTTAAGAAAAGGAATGTAACTTGTGGGTAATTCAGCTAGAACACTAAAAACATAAAAGAGGAGAATACAGAATGTGTTCCAGCTCTAATGAGTTCTTACATTTACTTACTAAAATGTGCTTTGGAATAAATGACATTCTGCACACTCCACTCTGCACAAATCAAATCTTCGAACAAATGTTTTCTTTTCAGGAGCAAGCTAACACAGAGACAGTATCAAGCAACCCAAATTAGGTTATGAAAAGAAGGATCGTATACCTTTAACCAGACAAGGTGAGTGGGAGGGACTGTGTTTTGGATTTGGTTACTTAGCGTCTTGGGTTAAAGGTCAAATGCAGATGGATGACAGATTAAAACCAAGCAGGGCTGGAACAAACCATGCTGACTCGCTGGGACACGTTTCTCACCTAAAAACCTGCCATCCCGGTTTTACAAGGTGTGCGTGCTAATGGGAAAACAGCAGAAAAGTTAATCTGTGAGGCCCTGTGATTATGTTTCTGTGAATGTACGTGTGTACGTGTGCTTCTGTGTAAAGCAATGGCAGCTAGCCTAATCTTTCATCATCTTGGTTTTCACTTCCCAGCTACGTTATTATTAGCAAGCAAGCCCTGGCTACCCCCCTGTAGCACACTGACAGCAACTCTGCTAACTAACTCAGAAGTCTCCGGCCCGGCTACTACCTTGACACATGAGAGAGACAGGACTGATGGCCGCAAGTTTTTAATCTTCATTTCCTCTTTAGAAGAAATAAGTTTCATACTTATGTAGAGATTGTTCAAAGTAGTTTTGTTTTTGTTTTTTACTTTTTGTGCTTAACAGCTTTAACAAACATTTCAAGAGGCTGTAATAATGAGGTTTACAAAGGAACAAATAACAGAAGTGCTGAAATAACACAGACGTCCAGCAGAGATCTGCTGGGATGGATCCCTGCCACTACCCTAACGGGCTCCTCCAGGAATCTTTTTTTTTTTCTAAATTAAAGGATTTCCTCGAGAAATTCGGAGTTGTGGGAGTTCTGATAAACTTGGCCTTGAAAGACACAATTTTTATTTTTGTTTTTAAAAGGTAATACATTTCCACATATATTCATCAGAAATATCCACCATCTTCTAACTGCTCTATCCAGTACATGGTCACAGGGGAGCCAGAGCCTATATCGCCACAGACGCAAGACAGGGTACATTCTGGACAGGACACAGGGCACACAGAGGGCACACACAGACACAGAGTCACACACACTCACACCAGAGCCTGTATGTCTTTGAACTGTCTGGAGGAAACCCACTTGAACATTAAGTATACAAAATACATGTATATACATAAGCTTGGCAAACAGCAAACCCTAAAATTACATTTAATTAGTTAAAATGTATAGTTTTTTTCTGGACATTTTTATGGAAGTGGTTTATAAAATGAGTAAAAGATGAAGGAGTGAAAATGAATGTGCATATTCCAAAGTTTACATTAAAAATCAAACAAAGTGAAGAGCCTTTTATGAATTTCATCACCTGAGATATACATATAAGTAGCAGTTCTGGTATTTCACGTATTTTAAGAAAAAAATAAATAAATGCAAATTATGGATCCTTCTTTAGCTACTGAAAACTGAACCTTCCAAGTTGCCATTCATTTGAGCGCATTAACATGCTCTAATGACTGAATATTAAGGAGACAACTGTATTTGAGGAACTAATGTCAAAGAATCATTTTATGTAGTAGAAAGTCAGTAGGACTGTGAAAAGCATCTTAGGCTCAGTACAATGTGCTCTTTTTAAGACTACCATCCAAATATAGATATCCTTGGGGCAGGTTCTTACAGCTGTTACAATCTTGCCTAAATGAAATTCTCTGTTTAACAACAAGCTTCAGGGGTAAAGGTACATTTACAGGAGGAAATAAAACACACAATGACTCCTTGTTCACACAGTGGGTTCACTTGCAGAATTATTCCAGACTGCATTCTGATGTTTTCATTTAAAGTGCAAAGCAAAAAAGCAGACTTAAAAAAAAAACTCCACGGTACCACCTTGTGCTCACTGGCCACGTCCCTCAATCTGTTGCACTTAATTCCTAACAAAACAGAGCTTTTATAAAAGCAGACTTTTAAAGTAAGACAAGGCTAGGCCTGGTTCACGCTGTAAAAGCTGGCCTCTAGAATACACTAAGCTGTTCTTGGAAATGTGACTGGTCGACCAGCAGGTGGTGCTCTTTCCTCTGGATGAAACTGTTGGTTTCTGTAAATCACTGGATGCTGAAGAATGAGTCCTTCATGTCAAGTGAAGCTCAAGGTATCACGCCTTTGGGAAACAACATGTTAACACCTGCTGCTCTAAAAGAAGCTGCTCCACATGGCAGGCGGCCTACTGCACATCATAAGGCAGGTCCCCTTAACTTTACACTATCAAATCTAAACTGTTTTGTTTTGAATACATTTTGGCTTCCTTAATCTTGTCATTCTTATTTTTCATATGTGCTAAAAAAATCTATCCAGAACTTACATAAATACAATTAAAAAATAGAATCAAATTGTTAGTGTTTTCCCACAAACACACCTTAGATGTGATTTAGAATTTCAGCAAACACGGTGTCCAAGAGACACCTTCTGACACTGCTGCTCATATGTGCATGCCTGCTTATTAACAGACAAATATCTTTGCACATATATATTAATATTACAAAATTATTATTATTTTAAAAAATACAGTACTTACTCTTGAGTTTACCTATGAAAATACAAAGTGTCAGAAGTAGAGGTAACTGTATTTGGCTGCTTTTGAAGTTTAGTGTTCCATGCCTTTTACATCAATGTCTCATTTAGATGTAGGTTTAAGGTGTAAAATGTTTAGCCTCACAATATGGACTTATCACAACAATCAACAGAAGAACTTTTTTTACATTTCTACTAAAAAATACTACACTGCTCTTTATTACTTTTTAAATATTTTTTTCCCCCATCTGTGAAATTATTGATTTCCATATTAAAGAGTTTTCCACTACAACCATGAAAATGAATTCATGTAAACCCCACTCATGATTCTCTGCCTTCTGTTTATGAAATCACTTCTGTTAGTCTGCCTTTTTTAGCTTTGTCAGAACTGTTGCTTGACATCACCTCCCCCCTGTCTCCCCACAATAACAGGAACGCCAACATGTCTGAACTGCAAGGAAATGCTTCCTCACACACACACAAAAAAAAGTGAAAAGCAAGTCTCTAACCTTTCATAAGAGGTACATAATGGCAAAAATACCGAAAGCTCCCACCGTAAAAAGAGACTGGTAGTCTTCGTTTGTTTAGCCCTGCCTTCTTGCTTCTTGTGTTCCATTAAGTTGTAGGTAAAGTTCTAGCTGAACAGGAAACTGGTGTTTATCTATGGGATCAGCAAAGTCTGCTGGGTGAAGATACCATTACTGGGAGAGTTCAAACCCATCTTCCAGTTTCCTTTAGTCTTTCTAACAAGTGCTATATCCATTACGTCCAATTCCCCAAACTTCTCTGAATGTGTTATCTTTGAAACACACTCCTCTCAATACAAGTGAATAAGAAGCAACAGCAAATGTACAGCAGCTTCTCTTTTCTCCATTGTCTTCTGTGCCAAGAATCTCTAACAGTGAGGGAGCATATCAGGCAAAGACAGGAGTTCATTTTCTTCCACAAACAACTGTACAGTTGCCATCTTATCATCAAGACATATCTCAAGTCTTAACCTTTTGCCACTTGAGCAAAATACCCTCAAAACAGTTCAGCACAGTTTAAAAGTTAAAATCTCACTTTTATATGCGATTGCCATTTATGAAACAAAAACATGGTGCTTCTGTGATTCACAACATCCTCACTGCTGACAAGCCAATGTTTAAAATCACTGTAATTTCAGCAATCATTTTGAAAGGCTAAACATTTTTTTTACATTAAATCAATATCTAAAAACACATTTTTAGATTTTCATTTAATTATTTAATCATTTAATTATTTAATCATTTAATTAAAAAGTTTTAAGACATGTGGAGTGGATCCTTTTTATCTTCACTTTCTTACATTTTCACAACTTAAAAAAACAATCACTTGAAAACCTACAGCTCAAACCTTTTGCTGCTATGTCTACTAAAATAAAATGCTACTTTTCCATCACGTATTTTGGGGAGTTTGATTTTCTTTTTACACAAACACAAATGTTCAAGCTCCTCCCTGTGCCTTTGTCAAACAGGTCAACAGGTGACAAGCTCCCGATCCCTGAGTGACCTCTTCGTGAGAAGCTAACCAAGCAACAAGTGTTACATTACTATAAAAAAGCTAATCTAAAGCGTCGTCGAGGTTAATCATGACTTGGCATAAGAGAATTGTATGAGTATTTGAATCACTGCTAAAAAAACAAAGAAGGCCACAATCCTTAATTATGAATTTGTCGAAATGATAATAGATCTAATGCACTTCTCAAGTCTTCAACTTCAATTTCCTGCTCAAGAAGTGTTCCTTTTTACAGGTACAACTCAAAAGTCGGACACACAGCAGCATTTGCAATAGGGGTATGAGGAAAATAGTTTTAACTGAATTAAATCGGTTAAAGCGCAATACTTAAGGCATTTTAACTTAGAATTTTCAAATGAAAGCTTCATTTTGGTTTATTTTCTTGACATCTCTACACCCCTAAGGGATGTAGTAGAAAATACATTTAGCTATGGACTGAAATAACTGCATAAATGATAGGGTCTCTAAATGACAGAGGCATTTGTGAAATGAAGGTTGTACTGCCTGCAATGAAGTACTGCATAACTCAGCAATTTTTTCACTAAAAATCCCTTTGGTGGCTTACACTGCTCTGCAATCCTCCCCCACTCCTGTTAGGCAGCTTTGCAACACTTTGTTCAGATGCTTTACAGTTGTGAACTGCATCCTGGTAAATAAGGGAGTAAAAATTATAGCTGTTATTCTCAGACAGTGCTGTATGGCTGAGAAACTCCACATTACCTAAATGGAGTATAAAGAGTTTGTGGAAGCACACTGTTCCAGAGATAGATCTAACAGAGGGAGACCTGAGGTAATGCAACCCACAAGGTAGTACATTTGGATTCCTCTTTTTCTCTGGTCATTTTACTAACAGAAATGTCTTCTTTAAATGCTGTTCCTTGACAAATGAAAGTGTAAAACACTAAGCGTTATATACAAGAACTAGAACCTACATATAAGACCTAAAACCAAAGGTCAGTAATTTATTGATTAAATTCTATCAGATGTAACATATAAGCATCCATTTTCTCCATTAATATGACAACATGCTACAATTAGGTTCTGAAAATCTGGAGATGAGAGACATTTGTGGGAATATGTTAATCAAAGGATAATCCTGTGTCACGTGCCACCAGTACAGGAGACAAATCTGAGGCACCTCTAAGCATAAGGATTGGCTACAAATCACAAAAGCACGAATGGAAAATTGGAGCAGGACAACATAGCTAATTTTGAAACACACAATACTCAGTTAGCCTAATAAAAGAGAGCCAGGAGGAAATCGGGGAAAATGAAATGTCTCAGGTCAGACTGACACACCACGTCATGCTTTAACTTTTGAAAATCAGGTCGTCAAATGCATGAGCAAGAGCCGTCCAAACGAATGGTGGACAGTCACAGGCGGTTGATAATTGTGAGCAATCAGCTAAGCATAATTTTCTCCTCCCCCAACTCTGGCTTGTTTTTTTCCCTCTGAATTCTAGACCCGTTCCACCGATCCCCTGCCCCGATCTCAATGCCTTCTGCTCAGAGCGACTGTCGGGATGTTCTGCTGACCTGTGCATGTTGCCGTTGGTGGTGAAGGTCTGTCCGCAGACGGAGCACTTGTAGGGTCTCTCTCCAGAGTGCACCAGCATGTGCCGGTCCAGGGAGCTGGCCGAGCTCAGGGACTTTCCGCAGATGCTGCACGAGTGGTCCGTGGCACCGCTGTCAGAGTTGTGCTGTGGGGGGCAGGAAAACAAACCTTTAGCGCAACTCCTGGATCAGAACCAGCTGCTCTGGTGATTGCTGTCCATTCAGGACTTTAACAGTTTTAAGTGGCAGCAGTGGGGAGTAGCAGTTAGGGCTCTGGACACAGACCTGGAAGGTCACAGGGTTCATATACCCTCGAACAAGGTATTTCACACTGTGCTAAAATGCCCAGCTGTATAAATGGATCACTGTAGATAAAAGCATGAGATAATTTGTTGTCTAAATGTGGATAAACGCATGAGATTATTATAGGTTCTCAGAATGTGAAGGTGTTCACAGAGGTATAAATGTTTAAGAGCAAAAACAAAATGCTTAAAATTAATTAAATAAATTTTAAAAAGGGGCACCGAGAGCACATTTTGATAAAAACACTGTCCAGAGAACTGGGAATGCGAAGCATTTTTTTTTTTTTTGCCTGATTCATGACGGATGTTTCTCCCATCAAAAAACTCTTGCAGCGCTTTATATTAAAGTGAGAAAAATAGAAAAAAAAACATTCAAAAATGAAAAAAATGCTTTATGTGTATATGCTAATAGAGCACTGCTGTTTTCCTCACCAGATTAGTGCTGAGATATTAAATTTGTAGATACATGTACGTAATACATGTAAGTGTATTAATACCATGTCCTTGTCTTAATATTCAAACAGCAAAACAGACATTTTGATCTGTGACAATGAACAGTAATCCTTGAGAATAACTATTTACCATACAGTAATTATAAGTAGGATTTTGTATATTGTACAAATGCACTGATCTGCAGCACATGATGTGCAAAAAACAATCATGCTGGATGGCAAAAAACCACAGTGGACAACTCCAGGTCTGGACAAGATGTGAGGGATGCACTTTGACAAGGTAGTGCAGGTCAAGTGAGAGTTTACTGGGGTTTAGCCTATTGCTGACTTTCTTTGGTTCTGCTTATAAAACAGAGCACCTCACAGGCAATGTGGAGGTCGCACAGCAAGGGTTTCGTTGCCACATCAACTGATGGCAAAAACATGTAAACGTTTACTGTCGTGTTGATGTTTTTTCAGACTAGGCAATGAGTCACCAATGAAACGGGGGAAAAGTCACAAATGCACAACTAAAGGAACAAAAGATTCTGCAGCCTTTACATAGATCACAAAGGATATCTTTTCTGCATCATGCTTCCATTTTGGTGTCATCTCTGTGAATTCCAGGTTACTGTTTTCCTCTATGTGCTTTTAGAGATGGATAAACATACGATACAAAAATCCCAGACAAGCTATTTTGTCCTGACATGGATGAAAAAAGGTTTTCGACACTGTCAATAACAGGCTACCAAACACTTTAACTTCAAACATCACTTATTAACTCTGATTTACTGTGTTCTGGAGCATTGTCTTTATTGATTGTAAAATACAAAAATGTGCCAAATCCTTATTAGAAAGCTGAATGTGCCATGGTGACATTTTAATGATAACACTTCAACTGAAGGTGCTGGGACTCTGTCTGAAATGTTTCCTTCCATATAGTTTATCCCTCCATTGTAGTTAAGCTGTGGAATTCTAAGGACTTACAAAACTCTAAAAGGGTTCTCAGAGACTGGGTATGATACTTAGATACTGTATGAACAATGTTCAGACTCTGTACCTGTCGAATGTGCATAGTGAGCTGATGCTGTGTTAGACAGTTCTTGTCACACAATGGACATGTGAACGAAGACTTATCTTCTTTGGTTTCCTGTAACACAAAAAGCAGAATCGCATATTGAAAATTGCACATAAAACAGAGTAAGACACTGCGCACTCATGAAAAGTAATAAGACTTTCTGGAAATTATCCAAAGGCTTTACTATAATAAACAGCTTTTCTGGCAATATCTCAGCTAAACGTTCCAAAACATACATCAGTAGCACGCAGCATAACACCTTTCTTTAGTAAATATATAAAGAAATTATTATATTTATATACATTACTTGTATATATTTCTATTATTTTAAACACAGTAAGTGTTCTCCTGAAAAGTTAAAAACAGAAGAAAGTCTACAAACAAGGCGAGCACATTTGGCACATCTGGCTAGTTTGGTTAACAGATCTAACTATCTCATTCAGTTTCGTCCAAAAGGCCAGTGCATCATCTCCCACAGCTGAGTTGCTTGTTCTACACTCCTACAACCCTTTGAGTAAAAAAGAGCTTCCTGTTCTCGCTTTTAAAAGCACTTCCTCTGAGCTTTCATTTGTCCCCTCTGGTACATGCTTCACTGTTTTATATATTTTATATTAACATAGCAGATCTGGCTTAATTGATTACATTCACATATGGTACTCATCTTTGTTGTATCTGTTTAACCCTTCATGGAACCTACTTCTCAGTTTTGATACGGTCAAGTGTCATTTATCTCTGTCCTCTCTATGGCCTTGTGGAATCTACAGGATCAAATGTAGTTTTGCCTTTTTCGAACATCCATCCAAACCTTCCTCCCACTCTGTAAAACACAACAAACCTAAGATATCTGATCCATTTCCTAGGGCGTGGAATAGGGAACACACCACCAGAAATTCCCTATGTTCTGCTCTGTGGCGACAGTGTGAATAAAAAAAAAGAAAAGAAGCTACCTGTCGCTGTCACTAGCTGAAATCTGGAAGTATTCTGTGTCTTTGATACTTCTGTGAATTCCTGATTCTACTGAATGTGTGCTTGAAACGATCTTCGTGTGAGGGGCGAGAGCACAAATGCATCTGTATCTTGTAAGGTATCCAGGTTTGTTATTACACTATTTTAAATTATATAGAGAGATACTGATATAAATAACGTTGCCATGAGAATCCCCACTGAGCCCACAGCCTGAGAGAGGAAAAAAAACAGTTCACTCTAAGCTTTGTGAAAAGGACAACGATAAAAGGCCGTGGGTATAAAGCAGCCTTATTTGCCTCAATCCAATCGTTTTCCAGTCTATTAGCTATTTAGGGTAAAACGGGCAGTTCTCTGCCTGAATCTGCCGGGATTAATTCATCAAGCCGGCATTTGTTGGCCACCTGCCTTTTTTTAATTCGTTGAATGACCCTAATCGAGTCTGGTTACTGTTTCACCTTGAAGAGCAGATCAGAGCACACCACAGAGCTCAATCTCATCCTGCTAATATTGACACAAGGGCTGATGATTAACTTCACTTAACTCCCATACCACAACTGGGCACAGCACATACCTCCATCCAGGCCAGATCCACACAGCACTGATACACAAAACTACAGATGAAACGGGGGGGGGGGGGGGGGGGGACAATTAAGGGGCTTGAATGACTACTGCTTTTTGCAATAAAGCTGTGCTTTTTTCTTCATTTTGATACATCATAGCGATCTACTGCTCTCTAACACTGTTAATTAACATTCTTGTGGATCAAACTTCTGTAGCAATACAGGTCATAGCTTTCACTAAAGTTGGAACAAATTATTAATTAATAATTATAATTGCTTACACTTATATAACACTTTTCTGGACCCTCCAAAGCGCTTTACAGGTGAACTCCCATCCACCACCACCAATGTGCAGCCCCACCTGGATGATGTGACGGCAGCCATAGTGCGCCAGAATGCTCACCACCCATCAGCTATCGGTGGGGAGGAGAGCAGAGTAATGAAGCCAGTTCATAGATGGGGGTAAGTAGGAGGCCATGATTGGTACAAGCCAATGGGAAATTTGGCCAGGACGCCAGGGTTACACCTCTACTCATTTCGAGAAATGACCACAGAGAGTCAGGACCTCGGTTTTACGTCTCATCCGAAGGACAGCGCCTGTTTACAGTACAGTGTCCCCGTCACTATACTAGGGCATTAGGACCCACATGGACCGCAGAGTGAGCACCCCCTGCTGGCCCCACTAACACCTCTTCCAGCAGCAACCTTAGTTTTTCCCAGGAGGTCTCCCATCCAGGTACTGACCAGTATTGGTCATTAAAGATTCTGAGACAACGCTACCCACCTGAACTATATTAATAACATTTAATCTTCATTTCACAAATACAACTGTCCAATTAATAAAATGTAGTCTAAACGTTATCCACTTTCTGTACTCTTTCCCATCACAGCAGTCCTAACTCAGGGTGTTCTTCGTAGGCCGATAACACAAGCTTCCCTGGACAATTAATAAGGATTTAAAAACACCGAACAACTTGTGATGACAGAAAGATACCATTTCAAGGAGATAATGAGGAATAATTTTTAAACAGATCAATTCTATAGTTGTTTACTTTCCAACGGCCTGCTAACTAAAAGAACTTTCCAAAACAGGAACGCCTCGAGTCTACGCATTTCTATTTTGATGATTTTAAAACATAATTTTGAGTAACGGATAGCCCTGGATTTACAGTGGCAATCTGTAATAGATGACAATCTAAGCGTCGTCCAAACCACAAGGATCACGTTTTCATGACAATCAGTGGAAATTATGGCCTCAGCTGGACTCAATCAATCCCCCTGGCACTTGACTAGTCAGACACCATGAGAAATTCTGATCACAGCAGGCTCATAACTACTGAGGTCAGCGTTAATCTACTGTAAGACATTACCTGAACACACATGATTGGGATGCTCAGAAGCCCTAAAATGCACTGTAGATGCATACTAAGAATGATACAGAGGCGAGTGGACAATCACTTTCATTATTAACACAAATCAGGATCCAGGAGTATAAGTGCCACATGAGCATGTCTTCTGTATGTACCTGGTTTCTCCTTCCAATCCGGCTGGGCCCAGGAGACTTGTTGGAAGTCTTGACAGGGGAGGTGTCGCTGGCGCCATTCATCTTGCCCACACTCATCACAGTTGACATCATGGCATTTATGGACGACAGGTCGATCCCGTCTGAATTTTCCCCACCTCCTGCCTTCTCCTCGCCCCCACAAATTGGATCGCCATTTTTACCTGCCAAGATCCAGCGCTTTCATTACTGCAAACAAACCGATCTTAAATATACAAAAACAAAATGCATTTGATATTTCATGTGCAATCTAGTTATACTATACAATCTCCTGATACTTTACTGCCCAGTATACACATCGGCCTTGTAGGGCTTGTCTGCTTAACCTGTTAAGATCTGAAAATCGAATACTTTAAGATATTTTTGCATACTATTAATAGATGCATCAGAAAATGTTAGTATTAAGATAATTTATCCTCTAACTTTTATGTGCTTCCCCTAAAGTGAACCATAATGATATCTTAGTGGATTTTCACTGGGGCAGTCGAGGGGATACCAAAACATTTCCAGTCTACCAACCCCTGGAACTTTAAAATACAGATACCTCTGTCCACAGAGGCGAATAGTCAAACTGAGGTTTCAGGGAGAAGTTAACTAGGACTTATGTGTCTGATTCAGTACTTCCTCTGAAGAGCACCTGCTGTACTACTAACTGACCTTTATAAAAAAAAAAACACACTGATGAAAACCACAGCTGTCCAGAACAGAGGGACTTGATCAAAAGCTTTACGATCTGTTAGGGGAACTTCTGACTGCTGGGGGAATCCAGAAAGTTCTTACACATCAACACTGGACACAAAAATCTCCTTTTTTTCCTATATATATATAATTATAGCTAAATCTTTTTATATCTGCATCACATGCTGCGAACGTCCAGATGCAAAGAAACCAGAAAAGCAGTTGCTCCGCTTTCTTCCAAGAAATATGCTGTGCCTTACAAACTTCAGTTTCCTCATGTGTGAGGCTTAAAGAATGGGACTCGCTCTCGGCGGCCCATTGTTTACCTCTTTGTTCATCCTGCGTTTGTATGTGCGCGGAAACATCCTCCTTCTTGTCCGAGCTCTCGGTGGCCAGGGCTGCTGCAGCGGCGATGCCTTCGCCATCCTTCTTGTCCTCACAGGCACTTTCCATTTCTGCAAGGAAGAAAAGCCAGAGTGTTACTCCCAGCGCGCTCACAGGTCAACAGTTTGATGGATCAGGTTAAAAATTGGACAAAGTTGCAAGTCTGATTGGAAATCCATGGATGCTAAATCAATGCTGTTCCCAACAAACTTAATATGATATTTTAGCGATTAATCTAACAATTAAACAGGGAAGTAGTTTTGCAAACTACACAATGTGTAAACGTTACGAAGAAAAACATGAAATATCAAGATCTATGACACCAATAATCAATTTTTCGAAGACTTGTCATTGTTTAATTCAGAAATTAATAATATGTCGAATAAGACATACTATTGCTGTTTGCAAGTGAGTTTTACACAAAACATGTGATTCAGACTTGATTCAACAGAATTGCATATTATTAAATTGACAGATGTCCATTACATTTTCAAGTACATTTATTGTTGGAAGATCATTGTTATGAATTTGTAACCATTTAAATACTGTTATTGTTTTCTTTGCAGTATCTTAGATTTTATTTTCACAATAAGGTTAAGAGGTTAAGGTTAAGGTTATTTAAGTATTTCCTTTTAGGGTATAACTTATAAGGATCTTCACGTAAATTATTAATTTATCAAATGTATTGCAAACTACACTACGTGAAACTTTTAAAAAAGAAAAAAACTTGAAGTTCCAACAGGATACCACCAATGTAATTTTCTTAGGCTCATTCTTGTTTAGTACAGCAAGTGCACTAAAATAAGCCTTTGTTTCACCGTAGAAAAGCTTTTCCAGCATCTGTAGTTACCCTTCAATTCAACATGGCTTACAAGTGCATACTTAGAGTTGTTTGTATCAAAATGCAATGTAATTTACAACAAAGTATTGGAATCACAACGTAAAAATGTAGGCTAGATGGCTGCTTGTGTGAGAATAAAAGAAAATTAAACTAACATCCATTTATATGCTTATTTGGAGGCCATTGTTGGTAAAGGCCAGGGGGGAAATGTGGCCAGGATGCTGGGGTAATACCCCTAATCTTTCAGAGAAACACCCAGGGATTTTTAATAACAATAGAGAGTCAACACCTCGGGTTTATGTCTCATCTAAAACATGGCACCTTTTTTACAGTACAGTGTCCCCGTCACTATACTGAGGCATTAGGACCCACACAGACCGCAGGATGAGCTCCTCCTACTGGTCCCAATTGTCAAGCTTGTAAACCCCTCCTCTTAAGGACGCTCCAGCCCTTCCCAGTTTTGTACTCATCCCCCTCACCTGCCTCCGGTTCCTGCCCCCCTGTGCTATAAAAGCCAAACGTTCCTGCCGATCTGGGCTCAGCTTTGGAAGATGGACGCCCGGAAGCCCGCCTATCTGCGAGTTTAGGAGCGACTCGACGGCACAGGCTTCATCACAGTGTCCTGACCTTCCGAGTCCGGGATTAGGGAGCTTCTGGTCCGGTTACCCCCTTTTATTCCCCCGACCCTCCGCCGGATCCCGCTCCGGCTTTTAACTCTGTTTGTCTGTCAGGATGGATTACCCGATCTTGGACTTTTGCTACACCCATGGATTTGCCTCGGATTCCCTTGAACTGTTTGCCTTGGCCACACCTCCCCCGAACACTAGCGCACCATGGACATGCCCCCTGTTTTCCTTCCAGCCCCTTTGCGTGCTTTTTTCCTCCCTCCTCCCCGGATTGTGTTGTCTGCATAGGGTCCTGAAAGAACGCTTCGTGACACCACTGAGACCTCTTCCAGCAGCAGCCTTAGTTTTTCCCCAGAGGTCTCCCATCCAAGTACTGACCAGGCTCACACCTGCTTACCTACAGGAGGGTTGTGAGCTGCAGGGTGTTACAGCTGCTAGCTACTGTTGACATTAAAGCCTTGCTTTTGTTTTATGGTGTGGAAACCTGACTAGGCAGTGCTGGAACATGGATCCATCAGGTGTATGAACGTCAGGCTAGAAGCAGGTGCCAACATACAGATGTTTGTTAAGCCTTTCTGTAGTTATTAATAACATTTGAAGAATAAAATGTACACAATACCAAGCCAAACTAAATCTATAAACAGACACTTCAACCTTCATCTATTTCAGAGAGGGACATATTTAGCAAAAGTTTTGCTGCTACAGAGGACTGGGAGGTTTAATTCCATTCCTGGAACACCAGTGCCTCTGCAGGCTTCCTAGAGCTCTTTAAAGCAGCACCACCTGAAGACCTATAGAGGTTCAAAAAGCTTTTTTTCTGGGAGTATCAATTTAAACATAAATCATTTGAGATGTCTATATAATTGTAAAAAAAGAAAAAAAAATCGACTATTACTACTATCATTTAGAATCACTAAAATTAATAGACCAATTAAGCCCCATAGAAGAAAAAAAAAGATTTTCCAATGAGCTACAGGGAGAGAGGAGCGTATCTATGTTCTATTAATATAAAATATGATGCTAGTACCAGAGCTACAATATTTCAATGCTAAGAAAGCATCATTATCAAAGCAGAGTTTCAGGTGGTATGAAAAGTGGCTTTTTTATAAATCTTAAAGAGCCTCTTTTAGGTGTAATCATTTAAGGAACACAAACTTGTCTAAGGAAAAGGCAATTCCAAAATTCTGACACTTAGTTTGCAGCTACTTTTGCAAAAAGAAAAGAAATCGTGATGGTGTTGATCACCTAAAGAAATACATCAATGAAAGACCTAGAATAAAGGAGCAATTTAGCCATCACAAGACCTTACCCTGTGGGAAATTGAATTTGGTGTAACACATCAAAAATAACACTCCTTGCTGAGATGTGCACATGATTTCTTTTTAATTGGACATACAATTCATTACAAATTATGTAATTAACTAAGATTTAAATGGCGGTAGAAGATAACGCCCATTTAATTGCAAGTGACTTGAACCACGTGCGGATTGATTATTTGAATTTTGGGTGTGGAACCACAGTAATCTTGGCCTAACCCACCAACCCCCCTTCCACACACTGTACAGTGCTCCCAGGATGTCCTGTATTTAAATCCTCAGCTGTCCCCACTCTCTCATGCACTGGTTTGCCTCTCAGCCTTAATCAGAAAAGCCTGCTCCTTCTTGCTGGCTTTCACAGCTTGGCTAAGCAGGGATGGGCCTGTTCAGCAAGCAAAACAGGGACCACCAATGAACACCAGGTGCAGCATTCCCTGAGGCTGCTGCTGGTCTGGCAGGAAAAACTGTTTTTCAAAACCAGTGAAGTAAGACCTATCAAGTATGGAGCAACATTCGAGGACGAAGCTCCTGTCCAGAGTCTAAAGTCACCTGTTAAGGTGTTAAGTCTCAACATCAATGAAATACAACAACACAGCTATATTTTAAGTACATAACACCCTAGGAATACTTCAAATGAATCAAACGGTTCCCTTTAACATTTATCTCAAAAATGATCATTATTAAATATTTGCTTACTTAAAAAAATAAAGGACTTGAATCTCTTCGTAACTCGCATGCTCTCTCGCAGTTGATTCCTACCAAACAAGTAATTCCGAAATGGTCCAGAACTTAACATTTTGTGAGAAGCAACTCAAAGCAGTACACCCACACTGCGTTTGAAAATTCACTGCCCTGTGCCCACAGCACTTGTTATAGGGACTATGTGGAGCTACTTCATTGGTAATTCAGTAGCTCCTCCAGCTGCTGATGAGCCTGCTGAGCCTGGTTTATATCTGGCCCAGGTTAAATGTGAAAGGGAGGTCAGCAGCCTCTGTGTATTTGTAAAACGATGGCTGTCTAGCCGTGCTAGAAAATAAAACATTTCACAATTTACAATCACAGTGGCCTGACAAAGCGATGTTGGCTCTTAAATGGTAGTAATATGTTTTTATCCTGAAATACCTTGGATTTGTGTTTGCTGGGAAGCATTTAATATACAGTTTGTTCCTTAGTAGAAATGACATATAATGGCCACACAGAATTTTTTAACTTAGGCAAGTGGTCAGAGGATATTTTACAGGGAGTTTCAAAGAATTATTAACCATTCATTATTGAACTACAATATACTACCTTACTATTTAAAAACAGCGGTATTAAAATAAGCAAGTATCCTTATCAGCAGGTAACAATATTTTATATATGCCCACAGGGTTTAAGTGAGCCTTTAAGATTTGTTCTTTCTCAATAGAAAACAAATCACGGAAACCTAAAATATTGTTGATTAAAGATGCTTAAGGATGCAAGAATACTGTAAGAACACTGTGCATACAGGACAATTGTTTGAATCCCTTTACTTAATTACTTTTAAAAAATCAAATAAACTGAAATATTTGTGTTAAGTGACAATCAGCATAATGTTGACACTTCAATAAGAAGTAGCATTAATCTTTCATGTTTAAATATTTTTTATTTCAACATTCTATTTCTAAATAAACCGAAAAAAGCCTTTTGAATTAATATTGTAGTTTCAGAAAATGCAGAGAAAGTATAACGAGCCTTGTAAGAAACATACTGTACAGATTTTGATGAAGATAAATTTGCCATTCATTCATGTGTTTGATGACTTAAACACTAAATCATAAAGTAATTTGTTTGGGTAGACGGGTGATGAGGTGATTTAAACTGTTGAATATGAATCCCAGTGAAGCACAGGCAAACAAGAAAGGAACCAATATGCTCCACATATCCAGAGAAGAATGCCTACGTGCCATTAATGTTGTGGGATGGACCTCAGATGAACTCGCCAGCAGTGAAGCCAAGTTCTCTTTAAGTGATGAATCAAGGTTTCGTGACCGGTGTCCCTGATTCCAATGATCATGGTACACACATGCAGAATGACACACTAATTGTGTACAACAGACCAATTGCTGGTTGCCTCTGTAAGTGTGATATTCTTTGCAGGAGTCTCTAGTTGCTACAGAACTCCTATTCTAGTGATCCATGGCAATCTGACTGCACAGCACTATATGATGTCCTGCTGCCCACACTCATCCTGGGACAACAATATTCCAGCAGGACAGCACACATCCTCGTGCTGCTGCTGTAGCAGCTATGCCATGGATGCCCTA